ATCTGTTAATCACTAATATATGAATTCAACTATTGATAAACTCGGTTGTGGATGACTTTTAGAAATATCTTTAGCAGATGGCTCATTAAAGATAATGTTCAATGTTCTGAACATTCTTTTGTATTGGATTTCTTTTGCAGTGTAACGAATGTAGACCACAGCTACTCTTGAGGGATAATACCAGTTTTGTATACTGTGTTAAATAGGTGCAATATTTTACCTAAACATATGTCCAAAAGTTTGGAATATTGGAATATTTCATCTTTTTATTGATTTTTATATATAAACTCTTCTAAATAGGAAAACATCATTGTGTTTCAATTCTCAACAATACTAAATAAATCTCAAAACTAGATAAACGATATGCAAAAAAATTATTTATTTTCTTGGAGTGAAAAAGTTACAATGTACAACTAGTATTGAAAAATAAATTAGTATAGAAAAAAATAATTTTTAATAAAGCTAATAATTAGTATATCCTCCATTGGCCTGTATGCATGCATGTAGGTGATTTGGCATGCTGCAAATTAACTGGTCGAGCTGGGCTTGCGGAATTTTCTCCCATTCTTTACGAGCAGCATCTTTAATATCTCGAAGTATAATAGGGGGATTGTTTCGCTTCTTAATGCGTGTTTTGAGAATGTTTCAAGCATGTTCAATAACATTCATGTTAGGGAAATTCGAGGGCCACTGTAATGTAGATATTCCTTCTTCTTCCAGAAAATTGTGTACTGCTGCTGTTGGATGAGAAGGTGCGTTGTCATGCATAAACACAAATTCTTCATCTATTGCTCCTCGGAATAGACGTACAACAGGATTTAAAACATACTCGATGCACACAGCACCAGTGACTCTTCTCTCCAGAACCAGCAGTGGCGTACGTGTACCACTCATAATACCACCCCGAACCATAATACTACCACCTTCAAATGGGACACGCGGTTGGGCTGTTTCTAGTCGGTCTTGTCGTCCTGGGGCCCTCCAAACCAGTGTTCATCGCGAATCAGATACCAAGCCAATTTTTCACTCATCAGAAAATATTACGTTATTCCAGTTAGGATCACGATGCACCATTTCTCTAACCCATTGCAACCTTACTATTTTGTGTTGGTAGGTTAGTTTAGGAACACGTAGCGGTCTTCTACAATACAAATTTACTGCATTTATTCTGCGTGTTATTGTTTGCCGTGAAATATTCAGTCCTTGAAGCCTAGAAATTTCTCTGCATCTACCGCTTGTAGATTCAAGACGATTGTTACGAGCTATCAATGTTATTCCCCGGTCTTGTGTTGCTGTTGTACATCGACTTCTGCCACTTCTGGGACGATTCTTGACGTCATTTGTATCTTTAATTTTTTTTTTATTTTCGATACAGTACTCTTTATATAACTTTGACTAAAGCCTTGTTGTAATAAATCAATTACTCTAGATCTGTCAAAATGAAATATCACGTTTCTAGGCATTTTTAAACGCCTCAATTCAAGTTTAAACAAATACTGAAATAATGTGTAAATACGATAATCAGCTAAATGTGACCAAAATCATACAAAAAAGATTTAAATATTTTATCATTTTCATTTAAAAACGCACTAGAATGAACATCATCAACAATTTTAAAACCACTATAGGCGTAGATATATTATTTGTACGTATTCCAAACTTATGGACATATGTGTATTTAGTCATCATTCCAAAGCTGTATTAATTCAGTAGGAACCTCATCAGGTCCATTTTGCTTTCCAGTTTTGGAATTTCTAAGTGCCACTTTTACTTCAAATTTAAGGATTTTAGGTCCCGTTTCATCATTTATCTGAACAATGTTATTTTTGTTAACCTCAAATAATTCTCTTATGTATTTATTCCATCTATTAATTTTCTCTGTTAAATCTATAATAATATTTTCGTCTTTGTTCTCAAGCAAACTTATTTGATGTCTCCTTTGACTGCCTGTAATTTGTTTTACTTTTTTATGTACATTGAATGTGTCATATTTTCTTTAATAGTTTTCCATTTCTATACATTGTTCTTTAATCCATGATTCTTTGGTCTTCTTTATTCTTTGCTTTATGTTTTTATCAACTTCTCTGTATTTCTGTGCATTATTCTTCATTTTACGTCTTTCATCCATTAGTTCTAGTATGTCTGGTGTTATACATACCTTGTGTTTCTTTGCAGATCTGGTTAGGTGTTTCTTTCCCGTAGTTCTTGTTGTAGTGCTTATATACTTAAGTTTTTTATCTATGTCTATTCTGCGGATTTGACTTTCTGCTATACTGAGGTTGGTGTTTATTTTTTGTTGCACTGTTTGTCGTAGGTGTTTACTTTTAAGCTGGCTTAAGTCTAACGCTGGGATGGTGCTTTTTCTTATTTTTTTGTCTAGCTTCTATCACAGATACTACTGGATTATGAACCGAACCGATTTTAGCTCCAAGATAAATTTTAGTAGATTTCACGGCATTACGGGATCTTTATGTCACCATTATGTAATCTATTTGGTTTCTAATTAATTTTTTTGAGTGTTTTTCGTGACGTCCACGTATACAGTCTCCTTGGAAGTTATTTAAAGAATAGGTTAGTTATTATTAAATCTCCGCTTTAACAAAACTGAACTTAACGGTCACCCCTTTTTATTTCTATTACTTAATACATATTCCAAAGTTAGCCAACGACTCTCTAGTAAAGTCCATCTCCAACAATTAAAATATTTTGGGCATGTTCTGAGAGCCAACACAGAAAACATGGAAAGACTCATAATACAAGGAAAGGTAGAAGGCCGAAAATCACCAGGAAGATCCCCAACAAGATGGATAGATCAAATTACAGGAATACGCCAAAGACCTATGCATGAATTAAAAGAAATGACCAGAGACAGAGATCGCTGGAGACGGACAATACACTCCCCCTGGGGGGTCAGGATTGAAGAAAGAGAATACATATTCACCAACATTTTCTCCAACTTTACCCTGACCTACCTTGGCGTTCAGATTTCCCATTACTATGTTAATGTGTTGTCTCTTTGTTGTTCTCATTACCTCGTTTAAAGTATTATAGAATTGTTGTATTTCCTCTTCGTCTTTGTCTGCTGTCGGAGCGTACACTTGTATGTTTATTATGTTCTTCTTCTCTACACGCTCTGAGAATGAAATAAAGTACAGCATCTTTCCATTTTTTTGAGATGGTGAGTCGAACTTCGTATCGATAAGTTGTGGTGTCACTTCCGGCATAATAAAACATTCCATGAATATTTTTGGGACATTTGCCATTTCCTGGCCATTTTGTAATGCCATGCCTAATATGTCTATACCCAAACGATCCATTTCGATTGCCGGTATAAGCAGTCCCCCACTTGGGGGACTGCTTATACCGTCAATCACTCGGTGAAATTTTCGCCATATCTGTCTACCCATACTTAGTTTAGCCTGCAGACCAATGCAGTTGCCCGGGGTTTGGCACGTGGAGCCATAAGTGAGAGTTAGATGTCTTATGAGAACCAGTTATCAGGAACCATCTCCCGACTATGACGCTCGATGTGGTCGTTCCAATAAAAGGTACCACCTCTATAATACAACCCTACACCCTACATCTCTGTATTACCTCCTCCCAAATTTCACTATTTTAACAAACAATATGGTTCAAAACATACGAAGAAGGGAACAGACTTTTGACTAGCACTGTATTTAAAAATAAATAATGCATAATTAAAAAGTCTTGTTTAATAAACTTTCTTCTTCTTAGAGTGCCGTCTCCCTACGGAGATTGGCAATCATAATGGCTATTTTTATTTTAGAACTTGCTGCTCTAAACAAATCAATCGTTCTGCATTGGTACCAATCACGTAGATTCTTTAACCATGAGTTCTGCCTTCGGCCAACAGATCTTCTTCCTTGAATCTTTCCCTGTATTATCAGTCTCAAAATTTCATATTTTGGTCCCCTCATCACGTGGCCTAGGTATTCCAGTTTTCTGGTTTGTATAGTGGTGATTAGTTCTGTTTCTTTACCAACCCTCTCCAGTACTTCTTTATTTGTAATTCTATCAGTCCATGATATTTTCAATACTCTGCGGTATAATCAGAGTTCGAAGGCCTCGATTCTTTTTAAATTACATTTTTTTAATGTCCAAGTCTCAGCTCCATATAATAATATTGAAAATATATAACAGCGAATGGTACGTAGTCTGATCTCCAAATTTAGATTTTTGCACGTTAGGAGTGGCTTTATTCGTATAAATGCTGATCTGGCAATCTCTATTCGTCTGCTTATTTCTACAGTATGATCATTAGTTTCATTGATCAAAGTTCCCAAATACTGATATTTTTCTACTTGTTCTATCACGTTACCATTTATTGTCAATAGGTGATGTATATTTTGTGGCCTTTTTGTAATCAGCATGTACTTCGTTTTTTTAGCGTTTATAGTAATTCCCATCTCAGCACTATTTATACTCAAGCTTTCGATAAGATGTTGTATATCCTCTATACTCGTTGCTATGATCACAGTGTCGTCTGCATATCTTAAATTATTAATCATTTTCCGTTAACGGTGACTCCAGCTTCGATACTATTGAGCGTGTTTTGGAAAATTTCTTCAGAATATAAGTTAAACAAAAGTGGTGATAACACACATCCCTGTCTAACTCCTCTACAGATCCTCATTTCTTCTGAGTGTCTAAATAAACTTTACCACAACCTAAATAGTGTACGTGTCTTATAAATACTTCACTATTTCAATTTGAAGAATCAACGTGAACTTACTAAATAAACAACGATTTGACTTGTAGTATTTTCTGAACTTACGGGGTGAGGTGGCTTATGGAATAGCGATTTATTACAAATGAATGACATTTGCCTCCATTTGGAATATCACGCTTCTGTCATACGTTGTTATACTAAGCCACTTTGCCTACGCTTACTGCTTTTAAAACATTATGTTTTTACTTGAAGCAATATGTTTTTTCTCTTGATATAATTAAAATTTTATTATTCGTTGTTTTGTTTTTAGAAAAAGTTTCGCCACAGAAAAGACTACGAGGAGGAATAATTTTCATAGATGCTATACCCAAGAATCCAAGTGGTAAAATTTTAAGAAGAGAATTAAGAAAATTGGTACCCAAACACACAGTGCAGCGTGAATCCAAATTGTAATAATTGTTTTATAACGAACTTTTGTACTTTTAATGAGATTGTTTTTTAGAAAATTGTAAAAAACTTGTTTTGTTGTTTTATTAAAAATCTGAACTGATTTCAAATCCCAATTAGGAAATAGTTGTTGTTATATAAATATTAAACTATTTGACAAATGCATATATATTCTGTTAATATGTATGTTACTGAAAGGTACGTGAACACTGGCCTGATCGGTATTGAATTTCATAAGTCTTCAACATAAACAACAGCAGCAGTAAAAGAAATAAAAAGAAATAAAGCTCTTGGAAGCGATGAAATCATAGCAGAAATGCAGAAAGAAGACGAAGAAAAAGCCATCACATATCTAAAAATACTATTTAATAAATTTCTATTCGAAGATAACATACCCGAACAATCGAATACTGCTAAAACAATACTAATACATAGAAAGAAAGACACCACAGACCTGAAATTATCGACCAACTTCAATTCTTTCACAACTTTACAAAATATTTACAAACATTATTACAAACAGGTTAACAATCAAATTTGACGGATATTAACCAGTAGAAAAAGCCGGATTTAGAAAAGGAAATTTCTATTAACGAAAAATACTTAAACCATTTTAGATACGCAAATGATGTAGAACTAATAGCGATGGTGATTTAAGTGTGTTGACTAAATAATAAATGGCCTTCAATTGTATATAACACTGGAATTTAAATAGGTATTATACTGATTTAACCATGCTACAGCTTCTTCTCGCAAAGCATACACCAGATCTTGTTTCTTTACAAGATACCTACTTTAAAAATAACATAATGCACAACCTGAAAGGTTACACTGGATTTTGCACCAATCAACCCAATCAGAACTATGCCAGTGGTTGGGTAGCTCTATATATAAAGTCAAATATACCTGTCCAAAAAATAAACCTCATAACTAACATCGAAGCAGTAGCTGTAACAGTACTGGGCCCACTAAAGTTTAATATTTGTAGCATCTATCATCTATGTAGATCAAAAGTACTACCAAATATAAAGGGATACGAGATAGAAAGAGCTTTAAAAAAACTAAAAAATATTCAAGCTCCAGGTCACGACGGTATAATTGCCGAGCTCTTGAAAACAAGCAAGACATTAACAATCCCTGTACTAACAGAGCTATTTAATAGATGTCTCCATAATAGCCAGATCTCTAAAGAGAGAGTCTAGTAATACTCTTACACAAAAAAGGGGACAAATGTGATCTACAGAATTATAGACCTATATCGTTGCTCAGTCAAGTATACAAACTATTTATGAGAATTATTAATAACCGGTTAACCTACAAAATGGATAATTACCAACCGGTTGAACAGGCTGGTTTCCCTAAAGAATATAGTATATCAGACCATCTGCTGATAATGAGAACATTGATAGAGAAGGCAAATGAATACCAACTACCCGTATTTCTTGCCTTCGTCGACTATGAAAATGCGTTTGATAGTATCGAGATTTGGACCATAGAACAAGCTATTAATAATTGTAGAATAGACTCGAGATATAGGCAACTAATACATAATATATATGAATATGCAACTATGATAGTACAACTAGACGAAAACACAAATCCCATCCCCATTAAGAGAGGAGTGAGACAAGGAGACGTAATATCGCCAAAGCTTTTCAACCTAGCCCTAGAAGACGTCTTCAAAACTACAAATTGCTCAACCTATGGCATTAATCTTAAAGGCAACAAGTTAAACCACCTCAGATTCACTGACGATATATTGATTATAACGAGCACATTCGAGGAACTGCAAACTATGTTGGGGGAACTAGCAGCCAGCTCCCAATACGTCGGCATAAAAATAACTATGAAAAAAACAATTCTGATGACAAACACAGAAGACCCCAGACATATAACTATAAACGGCAGTGAGATAGAACAAATCTAGGAATATATCTACCTAGGCCAAATCCTGAGACTTGACAAAGAGAACCAAAGTGCGGAAATTACTAGAACATCAAGACTAGCATAGGCAGAATTTGTAAAACTTAGTTGGATACTTAAGAACCGCAAAATACCCCAATACTTGAGGAGCAAAGTGTTCAACCAATGCATCTTTCCTATCATGACAGATGGATGTCAAACCTGGACCCTAACCAAGGCAAACTTGAATAAACTAGCCACAACAGAAAGAACAATGGAAAGAGCAATGTTAGGTATACGACTGTCAGATAAAAAGAGGAACGACTGGGTAAGATCCAAAACAAAAGTCGAGGACATAACAATAAAAATTGCAAAACATAAATGGAGCTTCGTGGGCCACACTGCTGGACAGAAAGACCAACGGAATACTACAATACAACATTGGATACCTTACCAAAGTAAACGAGCAAGAGGAAGACCACAGATGAGATGGGTTGATGACATTAAAAGAATAGCCGAAACAAATTGGAAATATCTTGCTCAGGATAGAGACCAATGGAAGGAGTTGGGAGAGGCCTATGTCCAAATATGGACGATAGAAGGCTAAGAAGAAGAAGAAGATATTTCACAAGATTAAAGTCTAACTAAATCCGAATTTCTTAATCTTCTCCAATAAATTCCCTCACCTCGAATAATCACGGAAGATTTTAATGGGTATAACATTATATGGAAACGTAAAAAAACACCGAGAAAAAATATGTTAGAAAACGTTTTTAACACTATGAACCTATGCCTACTAAACGACGGCTCTCCAACAAGATTAAATGTTGCCCCGGGAACATTCTCCGCCATCGATCTCACCATATGTTAATCGTCGTTGCTCACCCAATTTGATTGGGTAGCACTAAAAGATTTATATAGTCATCATATCATCATATATCACTTCCCAATCTTAATAAAACATACCGCTAATTTGAACACAAACACAATACCAACTCAAAAATGGAAACTAAAAATTGAGAAAATTATATCAGACAAAATGAATCAGATCACAATTTCAGACTGCATGGATGACACACTCACGTGCTTCAATCAGCTTATACTTGATGCTGCTAATTTAACCATAGGAAAATCTGAACTTTCAAAAACACACAAACTAATTCCCTGGTGAAATACACAATATGAGGTCGCTATTAAATTAAGTAAGACAATTTGGAACCGATACAAAAATTACAAAAGTATTGATCTATTAATAGAGTACAAAAAATTTAGAGCTGAAGCCAGAAGAATCATAAAAAAAGTAAACAAGAATCATGACAGAAATACATATCTAGCATAAACAGCAGTACAGATATATCATCCGTTTGGAAAATTTAAAAAATAACAGGACAGCACACCTACCAACAAATTGTAAGTCAAGACAGAAAGAACGTTACTAACTGACCCAAAGGATATAGTAAATGAACTAGCTGATACCTATCAAAAATTCTCATCCAGCCAAATTTACAGTAACGAATTCCTAACCTACAAACAAGAGAAGGAGGCAGTACCTAATAAAGTCTAAAACAGTAAAAATACAATTTAATAAAAACTTCCCATAGTAGCAAAAGAGTTTCTGCTCAAAATTATTTATATTATTTGGTCACAAAAAAATCGAATATAGCCGACACGTGGAATGCACTGAATACAATGATTGAGGAGCTACAAGGTGAATCCCTAAAAAAGGACTGAAAATTAATTTCAGCAAAACTAAACTAATGTCAAGCAAAGATGACAAACCTATGATAAACATTCAAGGGACAGAGATAAAATACGTAGATAAATATACATGACTGGGTCAAAATGCCAACGTAAGCAAAGAAAATCAGACCACCGAAATAAGCAGACGTGTAATAATGGGATGGGCAGCATTAGGAACACTCTCATATATACTTAAAAATAAAAATATGCCACAAAGACTTCGAACCAAAGTGTTTAATTCCCGTATCCTACATGTACTTCAATATGGAGTTCAAACCTGGACATTCACTAAAATAAACATGGAGAAGACCAGAAAAATTTAGAGAGCTATGGAACGACAGATGTTGGGTATTGAAATTTTGTCCGTCATATCTAAAATCTCGTTTGTCATCCACGATTTTTTCTTTATTTTTGGTGGTTTAACGAATTTTTCTTTATATCGTATGAAACTCTATGCAACTTGTATAGTATCTGATCTATTACATCCGTTTGAGTAAAGGTATTTAAATTGCTTTGTATGTAGTATTTTACACTCTACTCTGTGTGTTAACCTTTTACTAGCCTGATGCCGTTTTTGGGTTGACACTACGCCGTATCTTCCTGAGATTTGCAAAACTAAGCCTGAGCTTAGTTTTGCAAATCAGTGGGTTATGATCTAACTTGATATTGGCTCCATGGCATGTCTTGACTGAGCTGTTAAATTGCATTTAATAAGGGGATCTAGGTCGAACTACTAAGTAGTTCAACCGAAAATTAAACATGTTTACATGGTTATATACCTGTACAGATTCATCATACGGGTTGTTTAACCCAATGATCAATTTGTTGTTTATGATTTTTAATACAGTCTCATCTGGTTCATTCTGAGACTTGTTCGAATTATTATCACTATACTATTACTAGACTTCGGCAAATATGCATATTGCATATTTTGCATATTGTGCATATTTTATGCAAATATTTCATATTTTGGCATATTTGTTTAAAAGTTTGCATAAAGTGCATAAAAGTTCAGATTTTTATACTGTATTTGAAAATTTTTAAACATACCAATTTATTTCAATTCTTGTATAAAATTTTGTAGTCATTTTAATCAAGAAATGATCAATCAAGAATGAAGTACGTAATCTCTACAGGTACAAAACATTTACAGTTTCAAAGAAGATCAATTTAAGTAGCCCTCAACATTCTTAGAAAGTCTCGGTCACTGAGGCATTCAGTTATTGGATAATCGCTAAGGGTTCGCTCATTTGCATTTTATGATCTAATCCCCAAATCTATCTACAATTTATTGTATCTTAACAGCAGGTAAACGGCTAAAAGTTTTGTTCCTAATTTAGGGATTTTCCAAAATCTCAGAGTTTATTGAATTAGGTACCTAAACATTTCTAATTTGATGCTCAGATTTGTAAATCAGTTTTGTTTTGATATTCAAAGCGTAAACACTCGTTGTGCGTAACAAAAAGAAAAATTGTGAT